TTAAAAAGTTTTCGAAGCGCTTACCAACTGATCGGCATTTATTAATCGGTAGAGGATGGAAGCTTTATGGGGGTTCGATGGTGTCCGTCTGTGTATCCGTCTGGCCGTTCGTGAACACCATAACTGCCAAACGCTTGGGCCGATTCAGTTACTTTGTAGAGTTGGCCACATGTAACAAGCCTATTGAAAAGTGCTTTAACGTTTTTTAAACCGCTTAAGGAGTTAATTCTTCCTGCAGTTCAGTTTTGCTTTTTGAAACCCTTCTTCTTCCAGAACGAAGGCTAGCTACTTCTTCACCGCTTGAAGACATTTTAAAACTAAACCGAATTTCTTTGATTTGTGGAGTCGTATTTTCGCTACCGGTAAGGAATCCAGATGCTGTAATTAATTTTCTGTTTGTAACCGTTCCCGTGGGAAAATTTTAATGTTTCTTGCAGCATCCGCCTTTGGAAGACGAGAGAAAATTTATATTGCATGATTCAGTTCCTTTAATTCATTAATAATCGTTTCTCAATATTAAGCGAAAACTATCATTTTATTCCATTATCGCAGACCTTTTGCGATTGACTCGAAATTTCATGTAACAATGGGCTATCGAATTTGGAAATTTCATTCCGGTCATTTGAGTGAGCATAAATACTGGTAGCTAATCAGATCGGCTGTAGAAACCTCGGCTGCATTGAGTTAGAAAACTAATGGAGGGAATCAAATGCTTGGCCAGACGTAGACCACGGGAACCAAAAGTGGCCTCTAACTGTGATTAAAGTACCACACCACTTCCGTTATCATTAGCGTCTCACTTCAGTGGCGTAGAGATATAATTTTCTTTCCACTAATAGGAATAATAACAAAAAAACGTATAGAAGGAGTAAAATACATGCTCGTGGTAAAGTAAACAAAATAGACAAGGATGGGAAAGTATGCAGATTTAATATAATCATTGATTACAAATCTAAATATACATCGATGTGTTCCAGTAGTATAATTAAGGCCAGTTTACTATAGCCACTACAACTTGACAACTTCCATTAAATTCACAGTGTTGATCAATAGCTACAATTGACTGGTTGGTCTCAGGTTCATTACAACGGCAGAGAGATTCAATAATAATTTATTGTTTATTGGTCTCAAAATGTATCCGCACTCGTAAAAAAGCTTACACATGATATCAATATTATACAGAGTGAGCAACAAAGATTGAAGCGTGCCGCTTCAGCTAAATTGGCAATGTGCCGCTCATAGCATATGCTGATTTGATACAAGATACGAAATACGAATAGACGCACGTCACTGTGACAGCGCAGAACGTCATTTTCGTATACAACTCCATACAAAGAAGGTAGTTTTGATATTAATAGGAACAAGCGGTGATGACGCACGCTTCAATCATTGTTGCTCACACTGTATAAACTCACACGTTTAGCTGTAAAAACAAGTTTTGATAGTACCTACTGCATATTTGATGAACATTTTCCGGTGCAACCTTTGGTCGAAATCACAGTCAATGAAGCGTTGTGAGCACAAGAGCAAATTTCGAGATCTGTTCTTGAGATATATTTGTAAATGTTAGGTAACCATTTTGCTCAAAGTACTGGTTGGTTTGGAAAACTAAGACATAAACTGGGTACCTACAACCTCGCTTACAACATGATAAATGACATGTCTTACCGATGAAAGGAAATGCCCTGTTTCTTCCCTTTATGAGAAATTTTGCATGATACGCAGCTAATCATTCTCAATTCACAAAATTGCGTGTGATAAAAACACTATGCGGCAGTTAGTTATTTACATAAACCAGAGCACAAACCGATCCGAAATTATTAGGTACTTTAAAATGGCAAATTTAATAAAATTTGAATTTGGTGGAAAATTGACAGTGACAGGACCCGCGCTTTCATATGTCAAATAATGTCGGCCAAAATGTACCTTCACGGGAACCTATCCACGCGAGTGGCCTCTATCTGTGGCAACTTCCGTCTACAAAAATTCTTACCCCCTCTACCATTATATTCCCTCCATTAGTTTTCTAACTCAATGCTCGGCTGCTTAGATTGTGTCTAGTCTCAAATGAAGCGCGCTTAATTGACTTGAATTTTAAGATCGGCCCCAGCTTTTAGCGCATTTTTGCAAATTTATTTGTAAAAAGGTAGCTTTTAATCTCATTTTGGCTGGCTGGCTGGCTGGCAGTAAATGCGATCCCGTAGAAGAACGCTTGTAAAAAGACGAGAAGTGCACGTGTACCTATCGCTATCGGGGCGGTGTAGTTAACAATCTTATGGACAAGATGTGGGGTTGGCGACATCTAGGCGCCATCCCCGAGCGTGTTATACTAACCTGGAGATTTTTCAATTTTTTCTATCTTCTACAGTTTTTCTCCGATTGTTTTCAAATAGGTGTCCTCGGAAAGATCTTGTCAAAGCACACAACTCCTGCGTGGCGGAATTTTGTTTTTTTTCCTAGGGGCGAACTGTACCACTTTGGGCGCCCAAAAGTTTCTTAAAGCTCGAATCGCGGTTTCTCTTTCTCGTGTCGCCAATAAAAGCTCGAGCTATAAGTATCCAAACATTGAGTGCCGGGTTTTTAGCGAAATCCACCAAAATGCGAATTGCTAGTGAACGCGACGTCCGAAGTGGGTACCGACAAAGGGAATATGGTAACCCCTGACGAGATTTTACTGATGGCGCAGTCCAACCTTCAAACGTGCATTGCGGGTGAATGGGACGTCGGAAGTGGGCACCGAGAAAGGGAGGGAGGGTGGTTACTCCCGACAAGATCTTACTGATGGTGGAGTCAATACTGGCTAATAAAACACTGATCTACCACACAAAAATGCGCTGAAGTCCCTTCGATCTCACACAAGAACTTTGATAATTGTTTATTATTACCAGAATCATGAAACGTAAGATGGTAGTGGACAGATGTAGATCATGTTATAATTCCTCAAATCATATAAAACACAGTAATTAACCTAATTCGTAAGGTAAATACCGGAGTAGTATAGACCAACTTAAGACCTTCTGCAGAGGCACCTCTAAATAGCATTATGCGGGTCACTCTGTAATTGGGCGCATGCCTGTTAAGGGCCCAAAACTAAGAGAGGGATAATAAATAAATAAATAAATAATAATAGAAAAATTCACACGTTGAATGACTCCCTCAAAGCTCACAATAACGAAAGGTTACAATATTTTGATGTCCCAATGCAATGTTATGCAATTTTGGCAAAACACCACAAGGTTTCGACATATTTCAACGATTACAAGTCGTACACCATAAATTTGGCAAGTCTGAGCGTGAGCAACGTAAAAATCGCATTTCTCCGTATGATGGTCGAAAATTAAATTCAACTCTACAAATATTTGGATAATATTTAAAAATGTACGTTTACACTTTCAAGCTGTATTGTCAAGGTTGCCAAAGACGTGCCAATCTATTTCGAGTCTATTTAAATGCACAGACAGCTTATTTTAATGGAAGTTGCGATTAAATGGGAAGAAGCGTAATGATGGTGTACAAATTGCGAGATTTATTTTTTCAACTTACATCAGACTTTTGAAATAGATCAAAGGAACAATATAATCCTTCAACAAAATTATGCGGTTGTTTTGGCTAAGATCTAAATCTTAAATTTAAAAAATGGACACTTCCTAAACGGTAATTCGTGTCATATCAAAGCTTACTCAGTGAATGCGAGAAAACCGCTGAGGATTTATTGAAAATAGCGAGCATATTTACAACACATTAATTTTCAAGAGATGATCACCAGTTTACTTTATCGATCAGTGAACTGCATAGTTTACCACTGAATCTTCCTGATCTAAGTAAACCTTTTCCTTGTTTTGTATTACGAATTTATTAATCTAACCTCATACGAGATATATTGTGGTACTATACTAGACGGAACTGCGACCTGTAACCAATTTACAAAAGCATCTGCTTTTTGTTCCGTATTGGCAAAATATTTAGACCGAATAAAGTTACATAACAAAAATATTTACGTCTGTAAAATTATAGATTGCTTATATTACTTGAAATGTTACTCTCAAAGGTGGTCAACGACTTTATGATTTTTAAAGTTTCATATTAGCTAGACTCTGCCATATTGCAGACACTGGCATTGAAAACTACGAAACGTTAATTAATTCTATAAAACTGAACCATATGATCTGATCACTAATGTTTTTAGTATTGTAAGCTGCAACCATTAAATTTATTGCATAACAAGTTGTGGCGTATTACGAGACAATTGATGTAGATTGTAGCTATTGACAACTTATAAATAAGTTATTAAAATTAACGTTTTTTCCCAATTACAACATCATGTGGACACGAGCTATTATAATTAACTACCTAATTTGAATTTTACTTGTGGCTCCCGAAAACGCAGGTTTTATATTAAGTATAATTGAAGGTAATTAAATTAATAGTCCTACATTAATTACCTATATACTATGCTACGATTTTCAATTTCAATAATTTCGTAACACAATTTTAAAGGAAATTGTATCTAATTTAATTAGATTCATGGTTATAAAAAAATCGCATAATGGAAAAACTGGAAAAAGTGCCACAATTTGAATGGCCTAATTTTCACTTCGCAAAATGTCTGCTAGGTTTATCTCGTGGTAAAAGTGCTGGATTCAATTTATTTTTATGGACATCAGTAGTAAACCTTTCTTTCCAAGGATATACGAATGTGTATAGTAATTTCCGACATAATTTTGATATGGTCTGGCTTTTGAATCTGCAGCATAAGCAAAATTTTCAAACTGAAGCCGATCTCACACGACAATAATTTTTTTGGTATAGGTACAAAGTAATAGACCATAAATTTCTGATATTATATACAATGGTAAATTATAAACCATGTGAAACCAGCCTTAAGGGCGCACTTTTCTATAGATCAGCTATAGCATCGATGCTTATATGATTATAATTATGATGATTGCATTATACCATCTACACTGTGAACTGTAATACTGATTTATTATAACACTTACCAGTTTAAAATGAAAAGCGTTGCTGTGCATACCTGAAACAAATAAAAGTTATGTTAATATTTACAGACAATATACCTTCTTTTTTCTGTTTGAGTTTAGTTAAAAATTTTCCCCGGAGTTTTAGTATAAACACCCTTAAAAGCTTGCTTGCGAGTGCGATATCCTCAGTGAATGCCATAATAAATTGGTTATGTATGCAAACAGAATGTGCATTTCGAATACATTCAAACAATTTAAGCCTAGCACGAATGTTGACGTCACTACTCATTACTCAATACTCATTCATTACCGTTGCATAACTAAACTAGATGACATAAGCCACTATCGAGTGATGGTTACATTTTAAATTCAAAGTCTTACACAGGATTAAAAGCTTTGAGATTAAAACCCAAACTACCAGAGTTCGTATTTACTATGCTTAAAATCACAATTTTGCGCCCAAATCAACCACAATGAAACCTATATACACAAATTGAGCTTTAAGGTTAAAACTCAAGTAGGTATCCAGTCACTTTCGTTGAAATCAAGATTTTAATTTAAAAATAAAATCAACACTGTCTAGGAATTCATTATAACTATAAAATGGGACATTTAGTAGACAATTTTTATTGTACTGGAAAATTTCTTATATGGCAGTAGTCTTTAATTTAATGTGTTAATGAGTCAACAGTTCCATTTTCTCCACCAGGATTTGCTACTACAACCTATGCTTTTGACTAAACCGGAGTTGGAACCCATATGAAATATAGTATTTTACATTATTAGCCAGGTAAGTGAGTTTTTACTGGCGATAGGAGAAGTTGACTGGCGAGCCGTTAGGCGAGCCTGTCATCTTCTAGAGCCAGTAAAAACTATTACCTGGCGTATAATGTACAATATTTTATTTGTTACTCATTTGTAAACGTAAATAATTAGTTCTTAAATTGATCTTGAAGAAATGTCTAAAATATCATGTGATCCATGTAACAGAGACTTCGCATTAATTCTGGCCAATGAAATTACTAGATTACTAACTTGTAAAATTTTTACAGGTCTGCTGTCAGTTTTACAGGTCTGCTGTCAGTTTTACAAGTCAGTAGCGTTTAAACATGACGTTTACCCGTTTGCGTTTTGTCTTGTTAATCAACGTTTACAACTGAGTAACAAATAAAAGTATTTACGAATAAGCATTTCATTTCAATTTGGATCTCCGTAGTTTTTCCATTTTAGAATTTATTGTAATTGTGAAATTTTATTTATTCCATTTTAGATAAGACTTGTTAAGTACGACAAGTTTGAGTATTTTATAAATGATTTATTTAAGTGTTTGCGCCAAGAACTTTTGATATCAGGCGAAAGTTTAATTAATTCAAACGATGTGTGCTTTTTTTCGGCGTAAGTGGGGAAGTTTCATGCGTTCTTTCCCAGTCGATCTAATTGTGATTGGCGTTTTGTTTGTAAATACCAGAAGAAGGAGATTATGTATGGCGGAGGTGGTGTTTCTTTAAGTAATGGAGTCGATAAATGAACGCAGTTGGTTGGCGACGGTTGAAAGTGTGTATGTTTCTTTACGTCGGTCTGTACGTTTTATGGAAAAAGTCGGCGGACCTATTAAGGTTCTCTTGCTCTTAAAAGTTAAAAGTTTGTATCGTCTGAACAGCCACCGAAAATTGGTCATTTAATTCATCAAGTTAATGTTGTCTGTCATCAAGTTTTGTATGTTACAGAAAAGTGAAGTTCAGAAACTGTCAGCGTTTGTATTGAGTGCGCTTTGTTATCCCCAGCCTGTGTACGAGCAGATTATTTGGATTATTTGAAAAGAAAAACTGTAGGTAATTCTGATATTTCTTATTTTTACTATCGACCGCCTACGTGCGGAATAATAAATGTCCAAACAAGCTTTACAAGGTTGACTTGCTTTCGAGAATTTTGTTTAATTTTCTTTTCATGTGTTCCGGAATAAAATTTTGCATTGTCAATCAATTAAGTCTGTGTTTATTCGAACCCATTGTGAAATTCGGATTTACTTCAGATGCTGATGCAATTTTTGTAATAAATTAAGTTGATCGAGCCACTGAGTCTCCTGAAACTTTAGTTGAACTCAATATTGGGATTTTTCTTTGCAGCAGATACCAGAGGTGTACGAGGAAGGATCACACAAACATTTATTTGAGTTAAATGGTATTTTTTGGGTGGTTGCATGCAGCAATATTTTGCATAAACATATTTTTTAGATTTAACTGAAACTCCTTTTTTGTTTGCACGTTCGTTTCACCTCTGTCAACCGCCCGCATTTTCCCACCCTTTTATTGCTTCTGTCTTCATTTTCGGTATTAGTCACTCTAAAATAGTTTGTTTGTGTAGTATTAAGGTTAGGTTTGTGACAGCTCTGAATAAAATGTAGAATTTTGATTTTTGTGAAATGTATTGCCAACTTTGAACGTAATACAGAGATTTTATTCTTGACCAATAATACAAACTATATGTTTTTTTATAAATTTTATTTACACCCAAGTAGGTTCATGGGCTAACTTGAAAATTCTCTCTTAATATTCTAGAAGATTCGGTTTACGAATTTTAAAAATGACAGTCTGCATTATTGCTGTTGATTATATGGGTTGCACTTGCACCGACTCATAAATTAAAATAATAACTTAAAACTCAGCACTGATCCGTTGGGTGGTTTGCTTTTAGCTTACCTTTCAACTAATTTTTAGAAGGTTGCCAAAAAATGCCCCCTCTTCTCGTAAACGTAATAAATGAGATATAGAAAATCCAGGCTTGAATTAGGCCTTGTCGGGTATATTGACAAATTCAAATACATAATGTACGTTGGAACAAAAAACTATCATGAACTAAAACATTATTTTTCTTGCTGAACTAGCCTCTTCACTTCCAATTTTTTCAGTCCCCACCCCTACAACACGCAGGCAAAGACAAAGGACCCAACAAATCTGAAACGGGCTCGTCTAATTCCGCCCAAATTCGGCACTCTTTACCGCGGTCACCGACCAATTGAAATCTACCATTTTCATCTGAAAGTTGGTTCGGCTAAAAAACCCAAATAGCCAAAACGCAACTCTACGCCAGTGAATAAGGAATCTTATTCAATGCTTTAATGTAATAAATAGTAATAAAAATGTCTATACAATTGATCAATAAAGAAGTATGCCATTGTAAAATAAAATTGAATTCGTGGTACCTATATGTATATTCTTTTCTTCGCCCCACTTTAAATTTACTACACTAAAGTCCCTTTCGCGAAATGCTGCTGAGAAAAGCAATCTAACAAAAAAGCCTACTAAAATTATTTAAATCTGAACTAATTCTAAAACTCCCTCTGAAAATTGCGATATCCGTGTGTACTAACCTTTACTTAGAATTTAATTTTCATCCCCTAATAGATCAGTTTGACGAACATGTATAAAACAATCGGCTTGAAAAAACGTGATACTTGAAAGTGACTACATTTTGTCCTCTTTCCAAACACAGTTCAGGAGTCTAGGATTTTTTGGTATGAATTTTGCGAAAACTGGTTTAGGAAGAGGTACAAATTTACTACTTCGACTGAGCTGGTGTTGGTGTCTTTACGAGAATTTTTTCAGTGAAAATAGGTTTTTAAATCGACACAATAAAGGTCGCATTACTCGCGTTGCCAACGTTACTTATATACCTACGCTACACGATGTGATACAAATTGAACGTATTTTTACCAATTGACCTGGCGCCTAATTTGGCGAAACCGATTATTATTAATTGCTACTAAATATAGTGCAAATGTTTAGAAATGCGACTTGCGTATTTCTAAATTTGAATAACTATAACACTTTACATAATATATTAGCGTATCGTTAATACGGTTGTAAACCATCCAATTAACAAATTTGTGCTGTAAAAAAAAAGTAGCGATTTTTAACGTTTGTAAAAACATCAAAATTTCTATTCTTAAGTTCCAGTCTCTCTAGTACCTATAAACTTCAAGAAACAATAGGGAAGGTGGAATTGGCAATAAAATTAAAATTAGGCACCAACTGAAACGATGGTGATGTAACCCATACCAGAATAAGTGTTTCGTTTTAATTTTTTTATGTTCTTCTTAATAGAGGCTTGTCAGTTTTAAGACATTTGCGTTTCGGCGCCATTTCCAATCACAGAAAATTTCCGGAGGACTGTTTATTGTTACTTCGCATTAGTTGACCAATTCCATGGTCACATTCTAGACATATACCGATCGCGATCAACATCGCATTAACATTATAGAATCTCAAGTGCCGACTTAAATATTGTTTACCTATTTACAGTTTTTATAAATGCCATATAGTAAGGTATCCTATTTTAACGATTACGAATGTGGTGGTGTTGCGTAACTACCAAATACTACGCTGACTATTTACAATTTCTTTCATTAATTGGTGATTTAATAGCGTTAAAGTCGAAGCTACTCATTTGTATAAACAAATGGATAATAATATTTAAACGACAAGGTGACGAAATGAACTTTTAAATTAACAAAAATGTGTAAACATATTGATAATCTGAAAAGGAACCCATTCATCTATGTCAATGAATTAGATAAACGTTTATTGCTTCATGCGTGAAATGGATAATAAAATAAACTGTGTATTTACAATTGTAAAGAAATCTCATTGAATCTGTTTCCTAAAGTAGGTAAAAAGAAATATTGCAGTTAGGGATTTTTATGGGTCACAGAGAGTGCAATCAGTACCTTCCCTACTCCTAGTATAACAAGCAAATTATGATCATTTTAATCTTTTCGGAAATGGTACCTATACGCGAATAGATAATAGAACTTGAAAGCTAGAATGTATGCCATTGGAGATACGGTCTAAAGTTTCAGGAACATCATTACAGAGTTTTCAAGATCCGATTCGATAGTATGCTGAACGTAGTTTCTCATGTATGAACTTTGCGTATATGTAATATCCTCTATGTCATATTAGATAGCTAGGGGAAGATTTACTCTATAGTTTTATCGTTTACACTTGCACCTCCATAGCTACCCCAACCCAACTTTAGGTGTTTTAATAATCTT